GCCTGCGCTGCATCAAACATGCGTCTGACAATAGCTATGGCTTGGGAGGTGCTCCGGTTTGGTCGGAAACCGGATTGCGAATTCCGTATTCGGCTCTCCGGGCCTCCTTTTTTGCAAGCGTTTTTGCATCATCCAGGCCAGGAGTTTGTAGGCAACGGGCAATAAAGATATCGGCATGTAATTCTCAAGCAGACTAGTGTCCCCTTTTTTGCGCAAGAGGGCGACTACAGCTATGCGCCATTCATCTGGGATGGTTTTCTCATCCCAGCACCGCCGGAAGAGAGACAGCAACGATTGCATCGCTTCCGAATCGCACAACAAAGATTTATAAAATTCTGGAGGCACCTCGTCGACGCCCGCGGCTTTCCCTGTGGAGAGAGCTCTGAGAGCAGCTGCCAATTCGCAAATGGAAAACGCAGCAATATTTACAGGGAGAGTTTCTCCCATCCTGGGCCTCTCCTCGACCGCAAGGTCAGGAAAGCTCACTGCCCACTGCGCTTTTTCAAAATGGTCGGCCAAAGTGTCTGCTCTACGATCGCTGCCCACTAGCTGCCCGTGCGCATCCCATATTTGAACAGGCTTCTTCGCTTTGCCTTCCCTCAACTTGCGCACGGCGTTCCAGGACCCGCTGTCTAATCGATCGCCCAGCCGCTTCCGCTTGTCCTCCCGGACACTCGCCCGGACGCGCTTGTTCAGTGCATGTTCGCAGTGTCCCGCGCGGTCACGCTGTTCCAGTAGAGCCACTGCGGCGCGTGATATCCATGGTTTGCGCGCTGACCTCCGCGCGCGCGCGAGGACAGTTGACGCTGCGAGCATCGCCTCATTCACCTTGGGAGCGTGCTCGTTGATCGCGGCTGCCCTCCCAGCGGTCGTTTCGTTGGCTTCGCGGAAATGCCGGCAGAACTGCATATTGATCGCATTGTCCGTCATAAGCTCCCGGAGGTCGAAATTCTGCTTCGCCGCATGTTTGTCCATTGCGCGTAAGTCGATGCCTAAATGCACTGCTAAAAGGAAATGTCTGCTCGCCAGCGGCACGGTGCGATCCGAATGCACATCTCGCATTTTCCCCAAAAGTGGCCCATCAATTAGGCAATGGTCGATTTGAGCAAAGTCTTCTCCTGCCGCGGCCTGCCCCGTCCTGGAAGCGCGCGCGCCGTAGTATGCGATGAGCTTGCCGGCCTCGTGAGGGGCGAACGCGCTAGCAATCTGGATGTCAGATGCCCGGCAATATTCGAGCAGCAATTCTCCATTGAGTCGGTCCCGACGTGTTGGCCAAGCGTTGCGGTCCCCATGATATGATCGTCACCCAGTTCTTGTTCATATAGTCTGGCATTGAAATCCCCCATGGCGAGCGTGCCGTTATGAGCTCCATGCCGCGGCCACGCCGCTGTGAAATCGTCGAACCACGCCCGCCCTTGTTCATGCTCGTAGCCAGCGTGCGGCGCGTAACACGTGAATAAAGTTAGGGCCCCACCAAAGACATTGATTTTCAAACTTGCCAGCCTATCGGAAATCAGCCTGAAACTGACGACCGCTTTGATCGCCCATGGGGCAATTCAGAATCCAACTCCAGAGTAAAAAAGCCCAGTAGTCTCCACTGACATGCCAGCTAAGATGACCAAGAAACCAGAGTCGTCGAAGTGCGTGGATTCCGTAATGCCTGTCTCCTGGATGCAAAGTATAGATATGTTATGTTGTTTCATGTGGTATTGCAATTCTGGTAGCTTCGCCATGTCGTAGCCTAAGCCTTCCACGTTCCAAGATGCCAGTCTGGGTCCACGCAGCGGGTAGCACAGCTTCTTGGGGCAACCCCAGCGCATGCCCTCGCGCAGTTCCCAACGACTGTCGCCAAGAGGATTGCCACCTCATGGGGAAGTTGCCGAAGGAGGAGAAGTATAAGTATGAGTACCCGTATTTGGTGATATCTTCGTCGTTGCATGTACGCCCATGCCGCAAGGCGTTCTGGTACAGTCGCCAGGATGACCATCCAAATCAAAATCTTCATAATGTGATGGAGGAGCGCTGTCGGCGGTGGTATCTTTGCCCAGCCACGAGGCGGATCCAAGATAGGAAGGGGAAGAAGTGGGAGATCGGGTATGTGAAAATAGGTATAGGTGAGTGCGTCCATGAAGAGGTCGAGGGTCTTCTTGCCGTAGTGCAGGCTGGCTGGTAGCTTTGCCCAGTTCTGCCATCGATCGCGCCGGCAGTAGTGGTGAGACCGGCGTCTTCAGTGACCCCTATTCTGGACCACGTCCTTTGGCTCCTCTCTTGCCCCCTCCCGTTGTCATGCCCTTGCCCCCTCCCTTCATGCCCGCCGTCGCTTTGGCCACTAACTTGTCCGAGTTGCTCTGGAGCTCAACTACCTCGGGGCTGTTGTGGAGCTCGCGCCAATCCGCCCATTCACCATGCCACTCGTAAGCTACCTTATCCGGAAAAACGTGCGCTATCAGGGCCATTTCCCCTCCGACCGTCAATGTGTACGGCGCCTCGTCGCTCACGGTGACTGCGTAGGGAATGTTCCACTCCTTTTGAAAACCCGTTTTAGCCCGAAGCAAAAATTTCTGGCGGCCCGCTCAGTGTCGGGCTTGTCCTGGCTTGCCCACACCTGCTTCGCCCCAGACGTCAAGCGCGCTCTGCGCAAGAGTTCAACTGCGAGGTTCCGCGACTCGGCGTCGCGGAACTCGGCGAAGACGATGCTGCTGAAGTCGCCCTTGGAGTAGACCTTGTCCGGACGAGGCCCCCCAAGGGAAGAACGTTTATCCTGCAACCACGTCGTCGCAGCGATCAGGTCGTGAAGGCCATTCAGGTTGCCGACGACTGCAGTCGCCGCGCGCTTGTCGATGGCGTGCCCCATGCGATCTTGCCCAGCTGGATGCTGTGCTGGTAGATTGGCCGTGTACTTTTCGATGCGCTCCCGGATCGCGTTCTCAAGCGACTCGCCGGAAGACGTTTGATGTGCACGGAGTTCTTCGCATATAACTTCCAACTTCTCCACCCGGACGTCCGTCATGCCCATGTGGCTCTCGAGGGAGTCCAAACGTTCGGATAGTCGTGTTCAGGTCCGTCAGGTTGCTGTCCATCCTGCGGAAGTTCTTTCTCAAGTCTTCCACTGCGGAGGTCACCGGGCCTAGCTGCTGCTGGAGCTGCTGCTGAAGGAAAGTCGCGATGCCCTTCATGGTGACCGGACCCTCGTCGCGATGCCCTTCCGGAGGGAAAGGAGGAGGCTGACCAAAGGTCTCCGTCGTCTCAAGCCCGTCCATCACGTTGAGCGGGCTGTGGATGCGGTGCAACTTCGCCTCGCGGCGCTTGGGGGTCTCATCGAACGAGTTCGAAAAGAGCTTGCCCACTGGAGTACCTGGGAGCATCCTGCTTCTGGACGTCTCGCCCTCCCTAGAGTCTGGGATGTGCTTCGCAAGTTCGCCTTCCAAATCGACTGACGGAAGAGCGGCAACATCGGCAGCCTCGGAGGCTGCCATGGACGGTGTAACGGGGGTGATGCGAGTCGTAAGGACGCGGGCTCACCGCTGCCCCGGGCAGGGCGTCTGTGCGGTGAGGATATGTGGGGCACCTCCTGGATCTTGAGCCACTTGAGCCATAAAACACCGGATTAGACATAGAGGTGTGGGGCTTAGCATCCACCGTACAACAGGCCCTCGTGTAGGCCATATATGTGGACTTAGGCCGAGCAGGGTAAGGATTGGCGCGAGTGTCGCACAGCATATGCGTGTTAAGCCCTATGGCCTATGGCCTATGGCCTATGGGGCGGTCCTCCCACAGGGCAGGCGTATGACACAAGCAGTCCCAGCTCTGGGCTATGGGACACACAGCCCTGATACATCAAGTGGGACGCACAGTCCCTGTTACGGGACACGCAGTCCTGGCAAATGGGACGCGCAGTCCCTGTTGTGGGACACACAGTCCTGGCAAATGGGACGCACAGCCTCGGTTAAGGGACACACAGTCCTGGTAAATGGGACGCACAGTCTCGGTTGATGGGACACGCAGTCCCCGCGCATTGGGGGATGTCACATGTAAATATGGAAGGGGGAAGGCTCAAGAGGAGGAGGAGGAGGAGAAGAAGGTAACGATACTAGGTTCAGGAATTGCCATGTTAATAGTGATAGGCCGTAACAGGCCTGAGGGATGCGTAGAATCAGCACTTCCTCTGAGGGGGCTCTGTACCCCAGGGGGGCAGATGAAGGGGTGCGATAACCTGAGAAGGCCAGAGGGCCGTACGGGAGGGGTTCTTGTACCCTCAAAGGGCCACGAGGGAGGGGCCTCCATAACCCCCAATGGGACATACGGGGGGAGCTTCTGGGTGCTGAGCCCCTTCCTAGGGTCCTGCGAGGTTGCGGGCCAGCCCCCGCCGAATAACCAGGCATCGTCGGATAAAGACGAGTAGGGCAAAAGTGCACCGTCCTAAGAGTAAGCAGGGGGGCACTACCGCTGCACGTTGGCTCGAGCTTACACGGCAGCAATCGGTCGAGCAGCCAAAGCAAACTTCCACGCGACACCAAGGTCGCCACCATGGCGGCTTACGGCACCGGCAGTGCTCACACCTACGGGGCGCACGCCATTCGCCCGTCGACAGCGCCCAAGCTCGGAGGCGAGATGGTTGCGTTTAGCCCCGGCCCGGCTGGCAAAGGTGGGCATCCGGTGCCTCCGCCGGCCCCGAGGCCCCCACCACCGCCACCGCCCCAGTGGCAGATCAATGCCCATGGGACGGAGGAGTGGGAGGAGTGGAGCCCACCAGGGGCGCTGAGGGCGGAGGATCTACAGGCGCTACCATGGAGCTTCCCGCAAGAACAGAAGCACGACGCTTAGTCATACGACGATACCTACCACTACGACAAGCTCCAAGGCGGCTCCTACGGCAAGACCTTTGGGAAGGGCAAGGGCAAGGGGAAAGCAAAGGCAAGGGATGAGGCTATCACAAGGGCAAGGGCGCAGCTGAGCAAGGCCCGAGCCCAGAACCGGCAACGCCCAAGACACCGTCTGCCATGGAATTGGCCCAGGCGGAGGTGGATTTTTGGAAGAGCAAGGTGCCCAGCGACCACCCCAAGCTGCTCCAAGCACAGCAGACCCTGGAGGAGTACCTGCAGAAGTCCTTCCTTTCCCTGCCTGGGGAAGTCCAGGCGAAGCGTCTGCAGGCTACCGCCAACGCGGAGTGGAACAAGGTGAACAGCACGAAGGCGGAACTCATAGACGCCAAGTGCGACGCCTACCAGCAGCTTGCGATCAACATCAATGAGAAACTTGATAAGCTCAAGGGGAAGATCCAGCAGCTTAAGATTCTCGAGACCTCCCTCACACCGGCAGATCCGAAGCCGGAGCCTTCACCTCAACAGATCATCGCGTACATGAAGGAGCACCCGCAAGAGGTAAGCAACCTCTCAGAGCCCGAAATACTCACCAAGGTCCAGTAGGTGCATAAGGCCAAAGCTGCGGCAGGCAGCGATATGGCGATGGCCCACGACCCAGGGCTCGGGGGGCCCCCTTCAAGGTGCTATCCATCAACGACACCAGCAAGGCCCTTGAAAAGAAACACGCTGAGCTCAAGGAGATGGACGGAGGGATTGAAGCGGAGGTGCAGTGGTTGGCGGGGCAGGCTGCAGCGGAAAAGGCGCGAAGCGAGGCAGGCCACCAGGGGCTGCCGGGCGAGCCAGCCGCGGACGCTCAGGAGCGACCCAATGAAGACCCGCCAGTAGGAGACGGCGGCTCGGCAGAGAGCGCAGAGATGACAGGCGCAACGCCCGCCGCCATGCCCACGGCTGCTAACCCGGCCGCCTCCAAGGCCAGAGCGGCGGGGGCGTCGCAAGCACCGTCGCCTGGGTAGCAGGGCTGTGGCAGGCAGGCCAGGTGTAGCGGGCCCGGCGCGCACGGTGACTTCCCTACTTGCCCCGTCGGCTGTAAAGCCGGTTTTGGTAGCCACTTTTAACGGGAATTCGTGGACTACCATGCGCGGCAGGCTTGACGACGGGTCCTTGGATCCGCACACAGTTTTGTTTCTCCAAGAGACGCTCTTGGATGACCCTCACGACATACAGTAGAACGCTGCCGGAGCAAAGGATGGCTCCCGACTTTCACCCCGGCCATCCGGACCCCGGGCAACCCGGCAGTTGGCGGAGTGGCAGTTTTGGTCAGAGCTGGCACGGACACCGGAGTTCCCCCGTGCCCGCCGTCCGCGACACGGCGTGCAGAACTGGGGCGCCTAGTGGCGGTAAGCCTCGAAAAACCAGGCTTTGCGCCCATTCTGCTAGTGTCTACATACTTACACCCTGCGGTGAAAATGTGCGATGCCAACAGGGCGCTGCAAGCACACCTAAGCATACTGCTGCGTGAAACGGGCCTGCCAATTTTGGCGGGGGGTGATTTCAACATGGACCATCTCACATTTGAAAAACAGATTTTGGAGAATGAGGGCGTTTCAACCTGATCGCGCCGGAACGGCCAACGATGTACACTAAGAAAGCCCAGTCCAAGATTGTCTACTTTATCGTGTCTGTTGCGCTGCATGCATTGATAAAGGACGAGCAGTCCTTGGCAGCGTTTAAATCTTCCCCGCACAGGCCAGTCAGTCTCACCATGCTCCTTGACAGATCTGTTTTAATCCCAGTGCTCAGGAAGCCCGCGCGATTCCCGACCGAAGCAATGATCGGACCGCAGCTGCCGCATGCAGAATGCAGGCATCTCAGCGCTGCAGCAGCTGAGCTATTAGAGCAGTTGTCAGCAGGGAAATGCTTAGAGTCGCACCAGCGGCTGACACATACCTGTTACACAATATTTGCCAAGGCCTTTGCGGCAGAGATGGCGCGCATTACCCACGCGTCGCTTAAGAGCGAGCGACCGAGAGGGCTCGGGCCCACAGTGGAATGGCGGCCAGCGGACGAATTCGAGTCCGAAGGCAAAGGGCGGGATACATTTATATCCCAAACGGCCACTTTGAGGCGTATCTCTAACACTTTACAGGATGTACAGCACTGCCTGGCCACGGGTGCCCCGACGAGGGAAGCCTTAGCTCGAGCGGCCGAGGCACCTGCGGACGTACCGCCCCGTCAGTAGATACGAGGGCAACACTGTCTGAAATAGAATATTACTGCCGCCAAATTGCCCCAGACGGTAGTACCATCAGCATGCCAGTACAGCAGGCTTTGACGCTCCTGGCGGGCCCAGCGGAATACATCTCCGCCCAGTTGTAAAAAAGAACTACAACTAGAGACCCAAGACCGCACCAAAGCGTGGCGAGCATGGGTCAAACATGCCAATGGCAAATCTGTAGGGTGGGCGCACAGATGGTCGAATAATCAACCGATGTGGACCCCCACGCAAATTAAGTGGCATGAGGAATGGTCGGGACGACCTTCCAGCTTCCTGCAGGCGGAGGCCACCAGGCTAGCTGGACTGCGGGACACATCACCTCTGCCGCGCCCGCCTTTTAGAACCCCGCAGGGGGAACAGCTGCCTCCCCTTACGGCCAGAAGCCATTCCAGAGGCTTCGCTAACCTGTTCCCGGGATACTGCCCAAACATTTGATGGGTTTCACCCGAGGCACTTTTCTCTTTTGTCCCTAGACCAACTGGGAGTGGTCGCACACTTACTGCATGGGGGTGGAAAAAATTGTACTTGCCCCACGGCAATACTAGCCGTCATCGCCACGCTGATCCAGAAAGCAGCGGCGAAGCAGCCGGGGGTGCCCGCATTTCGCAGTATAGGACTCCTCCCAGCGTTCTACAGAGTCTGGGCAAAGTGCCGACAACCGCTGGCCAAAGCATGGGAGGCAGCACGCCCGAGGCATTTCCTTTGTCACCCGAGGCCTTTCCTTTGAACACGTGTGCCGCCAAACCCTGTGGCAACGAGCGGAGTCGACCAAACTCCCGCTCACAATTCTGTCAGTTGTGCTGAATCAGCACCAAGCACCAAGATTTGTGAGCCACGAGGGTTCCACTGTACTGGCAGGGCATCCAGGCCAGGGGCTAGCAGCTGGAGGCCCATTTGACACATTTTTGGTGCAGGTGTGCACTATAGAGCCGATTGACACGTGGCAAGCCGAGCACCACCTCCTCCCGCTGTCGCCCTTTATCGATGATTTCCAAGCGGGCATAACGCATGCTGATCCGGATGTCGTAGTGGCGGCACTCCGTGAAGGAGCAGAACCGCTCAACAAGGTGATTGAAGTTGGCTTGGGTTGCAAGGTGGCGCATCGCAAATCAATCACCTTGGCGAATTCCGAGGGGCTGCGGGGCAAACCAGCCAAAGCGCTGGGAGCCCGAGCAGGACAAGTGGCAACTTCAGGCAAGAATTTGGGCATAGACCTAGGTGTCGGCAATTCGTGCTGC